CTGCCATCTCGATGGCAAACAGTTTCTGTGAACACAAGAGGAAGATAAAACCGTTTTAGCTTATGAAAAAAAGAAAAGGTTTCAGATTCACCTGAAGTCAAAAACCTCACCAGAAGCCGAGCTTGTTCAGGAGTCAGAACGTCTCCTTCTTTACAGACGTCGTAGGCTTTGAGCAGCGTTACCACTCCTGTGAAAAAGATTAAAAACTGGCATTAAATATGTCCATAAAAGTACTGTTTTCAGAAACTCTTTGAATGAATGTGCCGAGTTCATTGGCCTACCCACCTACCAACAATACAAATGTACTATAAACTAAATTTGCCAACCTATAAGGTCTTCCACTGTTATTGACACATCTAGTAAAGATGTGAAGATTTTTTTTATTGCAACATGCCCTGCCTTTCGCCCCAAGTTTACCCCGCTGTTCATGTTCTCACCTTTCTTTAAAGCAGTGGGAAGTCCCAGCTGCCTCAGTTGAGGCTCCATTGAGTGAGGAAACTGTTCAAGTGGACCTTCTTCCAGCGTTACGTCCATCTGTGCCTGGTTGCCTGCGCGAGCATAGTCCGTCTCTTTGAAATGGTTAAAATATCTGCAAGCAAAGACCAACGTGCAGCCATCCTATGAGCAGATTGTAGAAAACTGGAACAATGCAGACTTAAGGAGACTCATACTTACTCTTGTACTTCATCCTTTGTTTTGTTAGTGAAAAGTACTCCCACCTCTCCACGCAAATACTTGCTGACCTAAGCATGGGAGTCATAATAGGTTTAATTCTCTGCAGGAGTCAAAATAATATTGCATTAATAGCTGTAAAGCCATTCATTCTTACCTTGTGCAAATTATCTTTGTATTCATCTGTTTGTCCTTTTCCCAAAGCAACAATCATCACTTTATTTTTGCCAAAGAAGAATCTGTGACACACAAACCAAGAAAAAACATATTTTACAAGTATCTATATAGTTAGCTGTCAGGTTAAATTTTAATAAACATAAAAAGAAAGTCTGTGGCAGTAGCAACAATTATTACCAATCACGTTTGTTATATGCCAAGTTATGCAATATAGATGCAATACATTTAAGCTAATTAACTGCATGTTCCGATTTCAGCTAAAAGTTCTTTGATAATCACCTTGTTTTAAGTCAAACTGCTATTTCTGATATTTTTCATTGTTTCAACGAGCAAGCAGATTAATATAGTACCAAACAAAACAAATGTAAAGTAAATTCTTAAGTGAATTTTTATGTACAATAGTTCCAAACACTTTATTCAAATTTCAAGCACCTTTAAAACTGTGAAAAAACATGCTAAGTTTTGGCATTTCTAAGCATCTCAAGCACATGTTAAAGGTTTGAATTAACTGACTTACATAAGAAAATATTACTGTGAATTTTGGGGCAAAAACAAACAATGGATGGAAAGTTGCTTAATTCCATAAAACAAAACGTAAATTCGGAGGAAATGTTAATAAAGACATCTTTAAAATGTCAGACTAAAGCTGATAAGAGAGCATTTTTACACAGCATGCTAAACTTTGTTGCTTGAATTTGTAAAGTCCGTCAAAAACCGATTACATATGTGTCATTATTACCTGCTATGTTTCCATGCTGTCCTGATGTCTTTCAACTTGTTATTCCTCATATTTTCCACAGAGAATATGAACAGGTTTCTATAGGTGTCCACACATTTCCGTAGCTAAAGAAAAAGGACCAAGAGACGATTTATTTAACATAGAGGAGAAGCTAATACCTGAGAATAACATTTGTGGTTTTGAAAAATACCCACCTCCTCGATTAACTTCTGTTTGGATTCCAGCCCCTTCTTGGCAGTTTTTGTTAATGAGACTGATGGAGGAAAATACGAGAAATAGATCAGTTTTTAAACCGATTTTACATCTGTATCAGCTGCAGTACCACCATGCTGCGTGAAGATGTTAAGAAGCTAGGTTATCCTGCTTCAAGGCACATAATCTCAGCGGTAATTAATCTTAAATATCAGTAATATGTTTAAAAAACAAACCGACTACAGCTATTTAAATAATATCTTCATGTAAAATGTGTTTTCCTTACTTTTCTTGTCCCTCTTTGACTTCGGCATGGTGGCAGAACAGCAGAACACGTGAAGCAAATGGACCCTAAATGTTTCTGTTTGGAAAGGCTGGCCATGTGGCGCCTGATTAAAAATACCACAGCTTTACTTCTTAAAACGCATTTTTAGGGTGTTTAAACGAGTACATTTATATTCTAATTTTACAAACTTAAAATAAAAAAAGTATTCTAGAATATTTATGCTATATATGTTATTTTCCCTGATTGTTTTTGAAAGAGTTTTACCTAGTCCGTGTGATACAAGAGAGGCACAATCATCAGGGTGCAAGTGTAAAATATTACGTTCATTATCAAATAACGTAGTTCTACATTGTGTACTTTGGGACTTTAACTTTTTATTTGTGGGTGTCTTTTGATGTGTACAACATAATTACTCAAATCCATTGCTCGGAGACAGTTTGTACTGTGGCATTATTTAATACAAGCTACAAACATACATTTAGATTTATTATTAAATAATTTTCAGACTCTGACAAAAAATGGCTGTGTGGAAAAAACAATCTGTATCGATGTAATTTTCATATTAAAATAACACTTGTGTAGATTTATGATTTTTCTCAGTTTTGTATTTATCCACACTCAAAAAGTATAAAAATCAGTACCAGTAAAAATCACTGTACAAATTAGCGTTTAAAAGAAAGATAAATGAAACTGTGAGGTAAACGGAAAGAAATACAGTATTTCTTTCCGTTATTATGCCTAAGGTCTCCTAATGACGGATACATTAAGCATAGGAGAGTTGGTAATTATCAAAAAAATGCATAACAATTAAACAACTGGAAAATCATACTCCATTTATGTTTTGAATAATATTAATGGACTTTTGTGTGGGTGTGTGTATGTCTGTGTTTACATATATATTAAGTGAAATAAATAAATGTTTCTTACTCTCTAAATTAGACAAATAGATCTTGGGACATTATTGGGATATTATATTATAGATCAAGAAATGTTATACATATTTACCAGAATTAGAAGACAATAAAAATAAATAAATAAATGTGCCAGTGTAAGTTAAGCACAATTACCGCTTTGGCTATTTTTTTTTTTTGGTCTACATGCAAAGAGCTACATGTGGGACATAATGACATAATGGTGGTGGTGTTATATTGTGGGGATAACACAGAAATGGAAGTTGGATGAATCTACGTCTAACATGCATATTATATTTTAAAAAGTGAAGTATGAGTCAGAAATAGTTGTGAAGTGGAACTACACAGCAAAAATTGAAGGATTCAACTTTTGCAAATACACACACACTCCAGCACAGTGCAGCTCATTCAAATTCAGCACAATCCAGATGCATCCACCTGTACTCTCAGTATAATGAAGTCAAATCACATTTTTCATGTGCTTCAAATCAATATTAATAGATTATAAACATCACTCTAACCACAATATCCAAATGGTGAAACATAATGGTGGCACGAAACGATAGGGAATGTCGAATTTTTAAATGTATATTATTTTGAATAATTTACATTATTATGAAGAGGAGGTGAAGAAGAACGTCCATGTGTGGAAGCTTCCCTGTTCCTGTTGAAGAAGAGCTTCCTGTGTGGAAACTCTTCTTCAACAGGAACAGGGAAGCTGCTCACAAATATCGAGACAATAGGGAAGTCCATTTACAAATAAGATGATAGGGAAATAGGGAAAGTCTCATTTGTGAATGTATTTTATTTTGAATTTATATATTGACGCCATCACCTTGAAAACTCATTGCTTCTTAATATAAATTTCCATTATTTCATCAAAGTTGCATGCTTTTATTATATTTTCCACAGGACATTTAATAATGCAACCAAAGAGAGTTGCAAAGTGAGATCAGTAGAGTTTATTCTCAAAAGAAAACCATAGTGATACGAAGCACTTAATAGTCAAAATAAACTGATTTAACTCATATTCCAATATACAATATCGAGTTCTGCACATTGCATGTAAATTCAGTGCAATCCCGTTGAATCCTATTACTGTGATCAGACTAAATGTCAAATCCACTCACATGCGCCGCAGCTCAGTCCAGTTCAAAACAGTCAGTTTTATGGGAACCACGGGACTGAAAGATATTCTGGATCCTATAAAACTGTGTTTAATGCAACTGACATGGCAAATAGTATTTGTTCATATGGTGACCTTTGATGGATAAAAATGATCTTCTCCATCCCAGATTTGGCTTTGAATGCAATTATGGGACAAAATATTGGAATATAAAAAAATAATCATAATCTTTGTGGGCTATTGCTTTCTTTGGATGTAGAAAACAATTTATTACATTTATTATAACCATACAGCACATTTTAGAATGAATATATGATTTTAAATAATTTTTAATGTTTTACTTTTCTGTAATGAGAAGCAATCATACTTGGAATTACTTCTAAAATACATGTGCTGAACATAAAATGTGTAACAAATCAAAATGAAACGGCCTTATTGACGTCCAGCTATAAGCCTTGGCTGAGTCTCGTCATGGAGACAGAGTGAGAGGCTCGGGGAGGGACGTGGGAGGGGCTGATAAGGTGATAGTGCCGAGTTTAGCACTTTGCAACATGATCCACGGAGAGGCCGGGCTCTGCGGCGCTGCATCCTGCCCCTCCGCGCCGCATGGAGACTGGATAGAGCCGCGGTGAACCGGGGGATGATAAGGACAGAAGGCTCCTCCTCAGTCGGCCGGCAGCATCAGCAGATCTGGACAAAGACGGAGACAAGAAACATGAGGGTGACGAGGAGTGCGGCTGGGGCTTATTATTTCGGTCTGCGTCAAACCTTCGGTTCCATCAGGAGATGAAGCCCTCTGTGGCTCCTAAAGGACTTTTTGGGGTTGGTGTTTGCTGCAGGAGCCCATGTTAGAGTCTTCCAGCGGTGACAGTGATGGTCCCCCCATCTTCCGTGCTCTCAGCATCTGCATTGTGAGGAGAAAACGTCCAGTGGGAGTGGGGATTAGAAGGAAAATGCAGACATAGCTAACAACAGGTTATTTTGTTGCAGTCAAACCATAGAAAGCCATTGCTAGGTTATTACTTTTTAGTTATTTTTCATCATGAGTTCCCTGTTTTTTTGCGAACCTCCGGCCGGTCCGGTCTGCAGCGGCTCCGGCGCGGTGACCAGCGCCCTGCGGAACGACTTGGGCTCCAACATCCATGTGCTGAAAACCCTCAACCTGCGCTTCCGGTGCTTCCTCGCCAAAGTCCACGAGTTGGAGCGGAGGAACAAGCTGCTGGAGAGCCAGCTGCAGCAAGCTCTGCAGCGGCCGCAGTGCCGACACCCGTTCGGCCGGGAGGTCGCCGTGCAGACGGACGGTCCCGAGTCCAGGCTGCCGGGTACCATTTGGAGTTTCACCCACATCCGGAGGCAAGGAGAGCGCTTCGAGACCCTGCACGGCCCTGGGGTGACGTGGACGCACCCGGACGGAGTCGGGGTGCAGATCGACACCATCACCCCAGAAGTGAGGGCTCTGTACAACGTGCTGGCTAAAGTGAAGCGAGAGAGAGACGAGTACAAGAGAAAGTGAGTAGTCATCTTTATTTTCTTTAATGGGTCTTTGCTTTATGTTATGTGGTTGTCAGAGTCAGACTTATAGCTTCTTCATTTTACCCCAGATTTTTTTTTCTTAGATTAAAACCTATTAAAACATTGTTTCTATTTGAATGGACTTCAGAGCGACACACTGGGCCAAATCTGGCTCACAATTGCACTCTCCTGCACTTTTCTCATGGTCCTCATTTGGCCCTGAATGACTGCTCTGACTCAGGGTGACTCTGGCTTTCTGAACTCAGCCAAACACCAACCAGCAGCGGCAGCAACCTCAATCTACTCTAGGTCAGACCAGGCTGCTTTGTGGCCTCTTGACCCAGTCTGGATCCCACAACACCTGGCTGTGTTGCTAAGCCGTGCAGGAAAGGTTTGGCTCAAAGTTGCTTTAAGACATTGCCTGTCAGTCTGTTCATCTGAATAAGTCAATCACTTACCTAAAGCTTAAATCCAGACAATCCAGGTTTTTCGTTCATAACTTATTTCATTCTAATGCTTGAGCATTTTCAAGGGGATGTTTTGCTGTTTGCTAAGCCGTTTGGCTTTAAGCTATTAATCATTCAGAAACAAATTGGTCCTAAAAGCACAATGCATGAACCAGAGTTGTGTTTACACATAAAGGAGGACTTAGAAAATTTACAAATTTAAATAGCTTCCTGAAAAATATAATAGCCTTTCACAATGACACCATTTGTTCTTGTTTTTTTAGTTGAATCTGTGAAAAGAAGCAGTGTTAAGAGAGCATGAACGACAGAGCAAGGTGATTTCCAGAGATTTATTTGCAGCTTATGGTTGTCAGCTCGTCCTGAAGAGGATGAGGAGTGCAACTAAAATATTTTTAACATTTAAAAATGTAAAATGTGCTTTATTCAAAACAGAATATTTATTTTTGACTGCTTCTCAAATAATGTATTAACTGACTCATGATAATGTCATCTATAAATGTACATAGACAGAACAGATAAATGCTAAAGGTAAGAGTTGAAGCATTTGTTGTGTGAAACGTTGCACCTTTTGTTGTTCTGCTCACTGAGTGTTATAGGCTGATACTGGCAGGTTAATTAATCTGCTTGAGCCAGCCTGCAGTCGTCTTCTTAACATGCATGTTGCTTGTAGCTTGTGACTTGTAGCTTGTAGCTTGTGGCTTGTAGCTTGTAGCTTGTGGCTTGTAGCTTGTAGCTTGTAGCTTGCCAACTGAAGTTTTAAAACAACATTACCTTCAAAAGAATGACGGGTGGCAGTCCTTTATTTTCTACCCAATGTTCTTCCTGACTAAAATTGTTTCCAAATGGCTGAATTTATTTTTATTGCAGGTGAGGGAAAAGTGTAGGAGCCTCGATTCTGTCTTCTGACCGATAAAGACTTGCAACTGCGTGGGTGGGCACAACACTGTGCTGCTCTTTGGTTCATACACACAGAGAAAACAGACACTCCAGCACTTTTTGGCTTCCAAGTTAGAAGTAGGAATGGCACAATGGACAATTTTAGCTATTTAAGAGCGTTGGTGTGCTTTGACACAGTTACTGGTCCATAACAATCCAGCTTGACTTTCAGGAGCTGCTCATCTGCTCCAGATTATATGGTTTGACATGATTTGTAGAGATCTTTCTATGGTCTGGTGATGAAGACATTCAGGTGACTCATGTTAGCAGAGATTCCTCTGTGAACTTGGTGATCTCAGAAGTTATTACTCATTAAGATAGGTTATGCTGCTAATTGGTCAACATATTGCTTATTGTACTTTGTGGCCTGTTATGTCTTCCACTAATGTTTTATGGCTTAGTTGGGCCTGATGTAGCATTTGTCTCCATGAGCCTCATTCTTTTATCTTCCCACCCTTTTCTACGTGAGTCCTGGACAGATACAAGAACTGGCTGAAAAAAACATGTTTTTAAAAATACATTAAAGTTTTCTACTAGTCTGAAAACTTCTAATAACTAGAATCCAGCTTCTTGAAAGCATAAGAAAACAATAAAAAGGAAAAGAAAAGGACACTAGTTGACAGAAGTGTTTTCTGAGTTGACGTCTGGTTGGACATACGTGGACAAAGCTCCTCTGTAATTGCACTGAAGAGATGGCAGACATAATTACGTTTGAGCTGCTCCATATAAAGGATGTGAAAGCCGGAGGAAATTCCTTTGCATGGCTCAGTTGGGGAGTCATATGAACTGTTGTTTCCTTGAAGACTCACCACAGCCTCCCCGTCCTGGCCGACGTCACCACCGGCAGGCAGACTGCTAGAGGAAGCCGTTGCCAAGAAGCTCCGGCTTCTGTTCAGCATCATGACTCAAGCAGAGAGGCATTTTTACAAGCCCCTGTCTGCTTGGTGAGGTCGACTCTGACGACCACTGACTTCCCTGACAGCCACTGACTCAGTCGCCCTGAGCATGTGTGCTCTCCTACTCTGCTGGGAAACCGAATATCCCCCCCACTCCTCCCCTGTAACACTAGCATATCCTTTTTTGTGCATTTCGGCTTGAGGAGATGACCCACAGTAGCTGGGAAAGCATCCAAATAGAAAACATCCTGCCTGAAATCCTAAATTTGCCTCCCGTCAGTCAGAAATAGAAGCTTTTGACTTGACAGATTATTAAAGCTTTCCAATTGAACTAATCAGGGTTTTATTTATCAGATACGATGCTTCCCTGCTTTACATTTAAGCATCTAAATTTAAATTCCCTCAACATTATGAGGTAAAATATCTTTTCCAGAGGATTTGTTTTATTTGAATCAGTTTTTATTACAAAGTATTCTTGAATTCTTTTTCATGTGGAAAAGTGAGAAACAATACACATTCTTTGGTTCTTTTTCTGGAGTGATAAACATTGTAATCAATCCCCTCCCTGCGCTAAGCTCAGTAATTGCATCACTGTGCTCACTGCCCGGTTGTTTTGTTTCTCTCTCCCAGACTAAATCCTCTTTACTACAGTCACGTTTCAGGATTCAGTCCCTCAGCTTTGTCTTGCTGTGCTCTCTCTGTTCTGCGCTCTTTGTGTTCAGTCATTCCTTCACTCCACCCTCCATCAGCCCACCTAGCCCTCTGATTCTCCCTGTGCCACATGCAGACTGCTTTGTAAGGCATCCTCGCTCCCAGAGGGTCTCCAACCCATCCAACTCTGTGCTCCGGTGCAGCGCTGTTGATTTATCAAAGTATTACAAGTTCGGACGCACACAAAAAGGTCGATGGCCAGCTGCAGTCATGCCTTAATTCATAACTCGGTTATGTAACCCGTGGAGAGAATTAAGACGTTTAAAAGGCTTTTTTTATTTGAAAAATAGTTGCCTGGATTATACTGACCATGGATATATATATATATAAAAAAAACAAACAAAAAAAACAGAAAACTGCTAGATCTGCAAATGTCATGGGGACAAAGACAAGCTTTTACTCCATGTGTTAAATTACAAGCTAAGCTGTTCTTTGAGTGACATTAAAGTGAAACAGTTTAATGTGAACAACCACAAAGCTGCTTATGGGCACGTTCACTCTGATAAGTGGTGTGTATTATCTGTCAGTCTATTTGCATCTGATTTTAAAGTCCATCAACTGTGCTGAGTCTTCACCTTTGCTGCCTTTAATTTTATTTCTAGCTTACAATACAGCTTGGACAGACTAGAGAACCCTTGGAGAATTTCACTTCAGTCTTTTTGCAGAATGCATTTCACACAACCAAAAGGATTTTATTACTTGCAGTTTTGAGGCTGGGCATATAATATGTAGAAGAAATGTGTGTTACTGCATAGTGTTTGCTTTTTGTTTCTTAAAATTAGCTGCCGCTAATAGGAGTAAATATGCCAAATCTGTTTTCAGATCCAAGGGATTATTGTTGCTCCAGGTGTACAGGATGTATTTCTGGATAAAAGAAAGCTCTTTAATCTTTCGTTAAGAGGTTTGCCCACATCCTTAACTAATCCATCCGCTTTTTAACCTCAGAACAGTGTTTCTTTTATTCCCTTCCCTCCACAAAGAGGAGAGTTGAGGCGGAAGTATTTTACTGGAGGATTTTATCTTGCTTTTGGGCTATTTTATCTTTCCAAACTCTTTGAAAGTTAGTTAGCATTTAGATGATGGGCAAGACAAGGATGCATACTTTTACAGCAGCTTGTATGTGCAGTAATGTTTTGCTTATATGAGATGTAACATCAGGTACTTTGCATGCCTCCTTAGTGCCACAGTGTCTGGACACTTGGTTTACCGACTCTGTCATTGACAAACGACTGCAAAAAGGAGGATAAATAAGGTCACTTTCCTGGGACTTTTCATCTTCATCTATTGCCTTATTCTACGGTCTGGCATCGACATGAACTTTACCACTTGGGTCGGTGGGGCTTGGAAGTAATTGCCTGCATTGTGTTTAAAAGGCTTTCAAAACTTCGGCTGGCACTGATGAACATGTCTGACAGCTGATAGCACTCTGCAGACGGGGAACAGATAAAAGCTCTTGCGGACAGTTGTCTTCATTCGCAGATTTGTTTAGAGTTTGCATGTTTTATTTTTTGCACAGAGGAGTTTCGGACCGTTTTATGTAGATCACTGAACTGGAAGACAGATATGGACAAAAAGAGGGCGAGTTTGCATGTAATAAAGGCCCGAATGGATGTAGATAGTGGTAGCTTAGGTCAATTCTAAGAATACACCCTGCATGGTGTACAGTTTGTGGTACATTTTTGCATACATTTCGGATGAACAGAGGCGTGGGACGCACCTATCAGGTTTACTGATAGACAAACACATAAAGTGGCTCTCAAAGTCTGTACACCCCTGTTAGATTTTCATAATGGTATGAAAATGAGACCATGATAAATCCTTTCAACAGTGTACACATAAGTGTCAAATCCTTAAACTAACTCTGTCTGCCAGCCAAATTCAATATAAGTAACTGTAAGTAAAATTCAGCTGCATCCTTTTGCTGACCCCATCGAGACGGTACTAAGAGTCACCATAAAGTGTCAGTCAGGAGAGCAATACAGACAAG